TAGAGACCGCGGTGAGGGACCACCCCCTAGGCCCCCCTATGGTGTGGAGAAAGTGCCACGCCCACCACGCCCCGCGACCCTGGGACGGATACAGACCGCAGTGAGGGACCACCTCCTGCGCACCCCCAATGGTGTGGAGGAAGTGCCACGCCCGCCACGCCCCGCGACCCTGGGACGGATACAGACCGCAGTGAGGGACCACCCCCTACGCACCCCCTGTGGTGTCGAGAAACTGCCACGCCTGCCACGCCCCGCGACCCTGGGACGGATAGAGACCGCGGTGAGGGACCACCCCCTGCGCACCCCGTGTGGCGTGGAGAAAGTGCCACGCCCGCCACGCCCCGCGACCCTGGGACGGATAGAGACCGCGGTGAGGGACCACCCCCTACGCCCCCCCGATGGTGTCGAGAAAGCGCCACGCACAGGTCGCCTGTAACGCAGGCGCTCAGGGACCACCCCTAACGCACTCCCTCTGGTGTCGAGAAATGGCCATGCCTGCCGTGCCCTGCGCATCCTACACGTGCGTCTTGTGTATGGCGTGTCATGTGTATGTGTATGATGCGTGTGCGGCCGTACTGTGCTGTGCTGTGCTGTGCTGTGCGGTGCTGTGCTGTGCTGTGCTGTGCTGTGCTGTGCTGTGCTGTGCTGTGCTGTGCTGTGCTGTGCTGTGCTGTGCTGTGCTGTGCTGTGCTGTACCGACGGGCAGGCGACTGCTGTGCTGTGCTGTGCTGTGCTGAGCTGAGCTGTGCTGTGCTGTGCTGAGCTGAGCTGAGCTGTGCTAAGCTGTGCTGTGCTGTGCTGAGCTGTGCTGAGCTGTGCTGTGCTGAGCAGTGCTGTCAGGAGGAGGGGAAGAGGGAGGTGAGTGAGTGAGCGCGGGTGGGACGCGGCAGAGAAGAAAACAAGAACCCCTCGAAACATGTGGGGAAAAACTCACCCATCGTGGAGTGCGTTCTGCCCGGAATTTCGAGTGGAATGCAGCCATGGCGACGAGAATTCTACTGGACGCTCTCGAGAGGGGGAAGGGCGTCCGAGGATCGAACCTCGATCCTCGCTTTCCCCTGCTCCCCTCCTCCCAGCGATCCGATAGATGGTGCGTTTTCAATTAAGACTCCCAGGAAATCGCGACCCCTTCCCCAAGGCCGGTTCTGCATCCTGAGTTGTCTCTTGACGGTCCCTCGGCCCTGCGAGGGCCTCCCGAGGCTGAAGACAACAAAAACTGAATGCCCTTAGAGGAACAAGGAATTGCATAAAAATCAACTTTTGGAGGGCCGCGCGGCATTCTGGGATCGGCGCTGGCCAGGGACGTCGATGGAGGCACTGCCAGGGGGCTCCAGCGCGGATCCGAGAAATCCGCGTGGACCTCCGGAAGTTCACATGTTATGTTTATGCTAGCTTGTTTTCCCACTCCCCAGAGGATTTCCCTACTCCCCAGAGGCGTCCAAGAGAGGGGCGTCCAAGAGGGAAGTTCACAAATCATCGCCGGAGGCATGTGCGCGGCCCAGGAGGGGGGTCCAGGCACGCATTGACATGGGAAGAGGGCCCCGTGACGCAATAAAGAAAGAAGATGCCCCCGGCCATGACATCCACCCTCGCCTGCGGCCCGACCCAGGACAGAAGAGTACACCTCGAGGCCACGAGACCCTCCGCCGGCCAAAAACACCCCCGGATGCACAGGGTCCTCCAACAACCAGGGAGAACGTCAGGGCACCCTCCCCGAGCCGACCTCGACCCGATGCCCTGGTCCGACCGCAGTCATCACCCAGACCCTCGGCCGCCCCCGAGGAGGAGGAGGAGGAGGAGGAGGAGGAGGAGGGAGGAGGGAGGAGGGAGGAGGGAGGAGGGAGGAGGGAGGAGGGAGGAGGGAGGAGGGAGGTCTGGGCGCCTGGCCGTCCCCCACGGCCCCGAGCTCTGCGGCGAGCCGCGCGCCCCCAGCGGCGGCCTCCAGCCCGCGCGCGCGGGCACCCGCGCCCACTCGGAGGATGAGGCCGGCGTCGGGCCGCTGCCGCTCGCCTGCGGCCGCCGCTGCCGCCGCCACATCGTCATCACCACGATAATCATCATCATTATCATCATCAGCAGCATCATCATCAGCATCATCATCCCCATCATCATTCATCGTATTCATCACCATCGTCATCATCGTCATCATGGCCTTCCTCATCGTCATCAGAATTAGCATCGTCATCATCAGCATCATCGTCACCACCATCACCATCACCATAACCACCATCACCATCATCATGAATCATCGCATCACCATCATCATCAGCATCATCAGCATCGTCATTACCATCATTCGCATCATCATCATCACCATCATCATCATCATCATCAGCATCAGCATGATTATCATGTTCACCATCGGCATCATCAGCATCACCAGCATCATCAGCACCATCACCAACATCATGAACATCCTCATCGTCATCGTCATCATTATCATCCTCATCATCATCATCATCATCATCTTCACCGTCATCATCGTCATCGTCATCGTCGTCACCATCACAATCATCGGCATCATCATCGTCGTCATCGTCATCGATATCATCATTGCCATCATCACCATCAGCACCACCATGATCAGCATCAACATCATCATCACCATCATCACCATCAGCACCATCACCATCACCGTCACCATTAGCACAATCAGCATCAGCACCACCATCACCAGCATCGCCACAATTACCCTCACCATCAGCATCATCATCGTCATCGCAATCGTCATCGTCATCAGCATCACCATCACCAGGATCAGCATCACCATCACCATAATCACCATCAGCAGCATCAGCATCACCATCACCATCAACATCAGCATCATCATCGTCATCATCATTATCGTCGGCGAATTATCAGCAGCATCAGCATCAAACGCATCACCATCACCACCACAATGATCATCGTCATCATCATCAGCACCACCATCACCAGTAGCATCGCCATCACCATCACGATCACCATCATCATCGTCATCGTCATGACCAACATTATCCGCATCATTTCCATCACCCTCACCATACTCAATATTATCTGCATCACAATCAACACCAACATCATCATCGCATTGTCATCATAATCAGCCTCGCTATCGTCATCGTGATCGTCATCATCATCAACAGCCTCAGCATCAGCGCCACTATCATCAGCATCATCAGCATCATCACCATGACCACCATCACCATCACCATCATAATCACCAGCATGATCATCATCATCATCAGCTTCAGCATCACCATCATCGACAGCGTCAAAATCATCATCAGCGGCATCAGCCACCATCACAAGTACCAACATCATGATCAGCATCATCATAATTCCCATCATCGTCACCGTCATCGAAATCGGCATCACCATCATCATAACCATCACCACCAGCAGCAACCTCAGCTCCATCACCATCAACAGTAGTATCACCATCATCAGAAGCATCACCCTCATCAGCAGCATCATAATGACCAGCGTCATCGGCATCGTCACCACCAGCATCAACATCGTCACCGCGATCGACAGGATCATCGTCATCGTCAGCGTCGCCATTAGCATCAGCATCATCATCATCCTCACAATCAGCATCGTCATCACCATCACAAGCATCATCATCATCATCATCAGCATCAGCACCATCATCACCGTCCTCATTGTCATCATCATCGGAGACGTCATCGGCATAGTCAGCATAATCATCGTCATCATCATTGCCATCATCATCAGCAGCAGCATCACCTTCATTAGCATCAACATCAGCATCAGCACCATCACAAGTAGCATCACCATCAGCATGGCCATCAACATCAGCGCCATCACCATGACCATCACCATCACCATCGTTATCATCATCAGCATCACCATCATCACAATTAGCATCATCATCGTCGTCATCATCGTCATCATCATTATCATCGTTATCATCACCGCCATCATCACCACCATCACCATCACCACCATCATCATCATAATCACCAGCACCACCCATCATGATTATCAGCATCATCATGGTCGTCATCAGTATCGTCATCATCATCAGCATCATCAGTATCGTCATCTTCATCATCATCATCACCAGCATCATCATTATTCGCATCATCATCGTCAGTGTCATCGTAATCGTCATCGTCATCATGGTCGCCATCATCATCATCATCATCAGCAGCAGCATCATCATCAGTATCGTCATCATCATCAGAATCGCCATCACCATCATCATCATCATCACCACCGGCATCATCATCATCATCGCCATCACCACGACCATCATCATCATCATCATCATCATCATCATCATCACCATCACAATCACCATCGCCATCATCAGCATCAGCATCATCATCAACATCAGCATCATCATAACATTCATAAGCACACTAATAATCATCATCATGAGCATCATCATCATCATCAGCATCATATGTATCGTCATCATCATCGTCATCGTCATCGTCAACTCCCGCGCCCGTCCAGAGGGTGAAGCCCGCGTCGGGCCGCTGTCGCTCGCTTTCAAGGAGCCTCGAGGCAGGGCTCGACTGGAGGCCTCCCAGATGGGGTCCGAGTAGACGGGGTCGGAGGCTCGGTGCATCGGCGACGCTGGCGCGGAGAAAATCGGGCCCCACATCGAACCGCCTCGCCGAGGCATCGGCGAAGCTGCGGGACCCTATGAGACCCCACCTGCTCGGATCCCATCTGGGAGGCAGGGCTCGACCTGAACAGTGTCGCCCGTCTTCGTCTTGGTCCCGTGCTCCCTCGTGGTCTTCGCTCCGCCTGCGCTGCAGAGCGAATTCCAGACGAGAACGGTCCACGAAATCGCCAAAAGAACGCCGAGGGCCGAGGGCCGAAGAGCCGGAGGCCTCAGAGACCTCCGAGCCTGCGGAGGCCTCCCGAGGCCCCGCGGCGGCGCCGCCGTCCGTGGACGGAGAGCCGGGGGGCTGGAAGCCAGGTCTGCATGAAGAGACAGAGAGCGCGGACAGGCAACGAGATTCCGCTCGGATTATGAGAACTGTCGAGGCTCGGGAGATCGAAGTGATGGAAGGCTTCCGCAAACGCCGCGCCTTGTCCATCAGGCCTCGGTTTTGACTCGCAATTGACGCCCACTAAGGGCAGTCCTATCCCAGAGCTTGTGAACATGCAGGCGTCAAGCACGAATATGCGACATGCCGGGCTGCTCTCCACAAATATGGGGCTGCTGACCGAATCCTTGCCGAGCCGGACAAGGAACGAGTCCCAGCAGCGTGGCCAATATTCGGTCCACGGAGGCTGTTGAACGTCGTGCACTGGGCTGGGCAACGCGGGCAAAAACCTGCATTGGCCCCGGACTCGGGCACAGGAGGGGACAAGCAGGAGGAGCAGGAGGAGGAGCAGGAGGAGGAGCAGGAGGAGCAGGACGCCTCGAGACTCTGCTAGGTCGCACCCCAGGAGAGCTCCGTGGGTCATCGTCGTTCGAGGTTCGAGAACTGCAGTTTTTGAGCATGTCTGGGGGAGGGAGAGGGGAAGGGGGAGGGAAAGGGGGTGGGGGATTCGGAAAGCCGAGGAGCCAGGAAGAAGATGGCGAGGAGAGCAGAAGAGAAGTGGGAGGGGAGGAGGCGGAGGAGGTGCCGGAGGAGGAGGGGCGGGAGGGGTAGAGTGAGGAAGAGTAAGAGAAGCATGAGGAGACAGTGCGCGAGGAGCAGGTTTGGAGATGAGGAGCAAGGGGGAGGACGAGAAAGGGGAGGAGAGGAAAACGAGGGATTGGAGGGATGGGAAGGAGGGGGTAGGAGAAGGGGAGGAGGAAGGGGGATGAGGGAAGAGGGGGGAGAGAACCTGGGCGCGAGCGCCATATCCCACCCATCCCTTCATGTTGCGCTGGGTTTTATGCATCCCCCGACGGGTCTCCTAGCAGACCCCACCCCGTGATGTGTAATGAAAGAGGTGCGCTGCCCACAGCGGGGGAGGAGGAAGCGGCGGATGAGCAGGGGGCGGGCAGGAGGGAGCATGGTAAGGACGAGGATGGAGGAAGAAGAAGAAGAAGAAGAAGAAGAGCAGCGGCAGCAGCAGGAGCAGGAGGAGCGGGGGGAGCAAGAGGACCAGGAAAATAATGAGGGGGCGACAACAACGAGCAGGGAGTCGGATCCAGAAATGCGGCCTGTCGGATCTAGAAACGAGGCCCGCGCTCGGGCGAGAGCGACACTCTGCACGACGGAAGCACAGCCCTGATCCTGAGATGTGGCCAACGGTTCAGCGGAAGCACCGTGTCCAAAGGACAGAGAACGTTCCGATTGAGCAACAAGGGTGGTTATACATTCATTTGCTCAATCGGAATCAGAATTCCGATTGAGCAAATACAAATGAAAGACCAACTTTCTCTCACATCCTGACTGCTTTCAGAAATATGCGGGAGAGGCGGCGCCAAACCGACACAGTATCGGAGGAGGGGGGAGAGTAGTATCCGAGTTGTGCAGTTATGGAGGAGGAGGAGGAGGAGGAGGAGGAGGAGTAAGGATGGGAGAGGAGGGGCAGGAATGGAACGGTTGGGGCAGAAGGAGGAGAGATGGGGAAGAGGGAGAAGAGGAGCAGGAGAAGGAGGAGGAGCAGGAGGAGGAGGCGGAGGCGGAGAAGGAGGAAGAGGGAGGGGCAACTAGGAGGATGGAAAGGAGGAGCACTCCAGCTTCCACGCCGCGGCCCGCTCTTTCGAGTACAGAGCGGGGGGCGGGCAGGCGTGCGCGGCGCTCACGGGGGCCACTAATCGCCCGCCCAAGGAGGGGGGGTGGAGGCGGCGGAACGCCCGAGAGGCTCGCTAGGCCCACCGGCACAGCGGCGCGCAGAAGCGGCGAGCTCTGGCCGGGCTTTGCCCCCGGCACTCGAGGATCGGGGAGGTCCCTGGATCAACGTTCTGGCTGTTCTGGCCTCGGGGTGGGGATCGAGGATCGAGGATCGAGGATCGGATCGAGGATCAACGTTCTCGAGGATCGAGGATCGAGGATCGGATCGAGGATCGAGGATCGGATCGAGGATCAACGCTCTGGCTGTTCTGGGCCTCGGGGTGCATCGGGCCTCCGCGGGGCAGCCGCGGAACCGCCAGGGGCGTCCAGGTGCTCAGGATCTGGAGCGGCACCGGAACTTCTGTTGAGGCCTCCTGGACGGGGTCGGAGTGGATGGGGTCGGAGGATCGCGCCGCATCGCCGGTGCACCGGCGATACATCGCCGATGCAGTAGGGATGCACTGGCGACGTCGGCGATGCATCGGCGAGGCGGCGCGATCCTCCGACCCCATCCACTCCGACCCCAGCTGGGCTTCTCGTGCCTTCCTCCTCGCCCTCGGGTCGCCCGCCCCTCGTTGGCCCGCTGGCCGCTGCGACGAGGCGAGGCGGCGGGCCTCCGGGGTCCCCCCCCCGCACGTCTCCGCGGCCCAACGAGTGGCAGGGCGGGCCCCAGGAGTGGTCTAGGGGCGTCCTGCGTAGAGCTCTGGCCCGGGGTGGGGCGAGGGCTGGGGCGGCCTTCTTCGGTGGCAATTCGTGGGGGCCTCCCGTGCCATCTTGCTGAATCTTGCGAGTCGACGCTGACAAGCGCGCTCTAAAGACGGAGTTGCGAGGACACGCAAGGCTCCCACGAGGCGCTACCGAAGTTCAGGGACAAGTCCTGAGTGGAGTATTGGCCTGGGGTGGGACGAGGGCCAGGGCGGCCTCCGCAGAAAGCACAGAGGTTTCATGAAATCGACCGGACAGACAGACACCCAGACAGACGCGCAGGTGCCGCCCAGGGGCGGGGCCTATTAGGCCAGCGCGGGTGGGCCGGAGCCCTCATTGAATACGGTCGAAGTCGGCGTGTGAAGGTCAGGGAGGAGATGGCGTATGACTCCAGGACTCCAGGAGGGGAGGGATAGAAGGGTCGGATGAGTCCGAGGACTCCAAGAACGCAGGAGGGGTCCCAGCAAGCCGCCCCTGCCGTCCTGTCCCCCTTCTGCGCGCCGCCCGCTGGACTCGCGGCTCCTGGTGGCGAGCGAGAGAAAACGCTCTGCTTCGACACGAACACCGCCTAGTCAACGATGCGCTTTGGACTATTGGGAAAAACGGCCCAGACCTCTGGCGTCGCAAACAAAAACACGACGATCGGTGCTTCAGAGTCTGGGCTTCCAGCGGCCTTTCGGCCCCCTCTCAGCACCATCAACACTCGACCCGCGACGAGAGCCTGGGCCCGTGGACCAGAGCTCTGGGGCCCAGGCAAGAGAAGAAGACCGCGACGCTGGAAGCCTCGGGACGGCATAGGGCCCACGCCCTGGCTCTCGAACGGAAGGCCGTTGCCTCTTGTCCGCGCGCAGTCCGAGTCGGTCAACAGGGCAGCCCCGATCAGTGCTCTACTGCCCACCTTGCCATGAAGGGAGAAGGGTTCGCCCCGAGTCGGTGGCCGACGGCCCCGGGGCCTCAGGAACGGCCCCCGGGAGGCCGAAAACGGCGAAGCACCTCGGCAGAACAGCCTCATGACTTTACTTCGACCGATCCCCACCGAGGAATCCAAGCACATCAAAATGCAAGGAATCGGTATGCAGTATTGCTGTACGTTGCTGTACGTTGCTGGTGTATGGTAATGAGGTGTGCTCTTGGAGGATGAGATTGATGTATGGTCTTGGCGGCTCCTCGTTACCGCTGCCCACGATACTGATGCATGATTTCGGAATGTCGTGTTGATACCTGTTCTGGGCGTCTGTTATTGATGTACTCTACTTCTTTCTGACAACGCGCGGAGCTCGCAATCGCGGACGCGCGACGAAGAGCGGGCGAGGCGGGTCGGGAACCTCCTTCTTAAAATCTAGCAGCCCCTACCTGTCGGGTGGGGAAACCACAGAACTGTCGGAGGTCCTCGTCATTCTGGGGTTGGCGCTCGACCCCACTCTCCCGTGGCGCACCGCGCGCGCCAGGGGTGGCACTGAAGGCGCCGCCAGGGGGTCCAGCGCTGGCCCCAGAAATCCGCGCGGACTTCCACGAGCATATGCCTGCGCGTGCTCTTTTCGACTCAGGAGCCCTCTCCCTCGGGACCCCTGGTCTTTCCAGGCGACCACCGCCAAGGGCGAAGTAGGACAGCCCCAGCCCGGCGACGGCGACGACGGCGGCGATGGCGGCGCAGGTGCCGCTGCCCCCACCCTCGGACGGAAGAGCCCCCACGTGGATCTTGTCCGTCTTGCCCTCCTCGCACCAGGGCGCCGCTGGTGGGTCCGACGCGATCGGAGATGCCTTGATCGCCTCGTACCTGCCGCCAGCCCCAAGATCGACTACCTGGACGACCTCCCGTGAGAAAAAAACGACGTCGGAGGTCGTTCTGGGCATCCGCCGCTGAGGTCCCCCAGGAAGTCTGACAGTCCCCGGAGTCTTCCAGAGGCCGCCCGGCGGCCCCCAGGAGCCCCAAAGAGGGCAAAGCACGTCTGAGAATCTCGATCCTGGAACGTCGAGAAGAACGTACGCTCAAGAACTTTGGGATAGCGTGTCGCCGCGGCGGCGCCGGCGACACGTTATGCCTTGCGAGCGGATCGCGCGTCGCTCCGCTCCGCGGGGCGAGAAGCTCGAAAATGCTCGGGACGTTGACGCCTCGGGGCCACGAAGTGGACGACTTAGCATTCCTTAGGGTTCCTTCGGATTTCTGACGCCTCTTCAGGATTCCAAAAATCATTGCCAAACGGTTCCTGCGGATCCCTGGAAGATTCCTGAAGATTCCTGAGGACCTCTGCGGATCCCTGAAAGATTCCTGAAGATTCCTAAGAATTCGTTGCTCCCCCCCAGAAGGTTCTTCATTAACGGGGGTGCTGACGATATCGCACGGCGGTTGTCCCCCTCGGGAGTGAAATCATGATTCCTGGTGCTACGGATAACGGGTGGGGGGACCGATCATACGTTCCAACGGTTAGCGTGTGGTCCTGAAGCGTTGTGGGCCAGAACCAGCGGAGCGGCACGCTACTCCAGATTTCGTAATGAAGGGAGGGGGGTCTCATTTCGGGGGGGGTCTCTTCCAGGCTATCTTGGAGGGCCTGGGGGGTCTG